TTACGCCCTTCGCGAGAATTATCGCGTTTCATCGATTTTATCATCGTTTCACAGGCTGTATTGGATATATTTGTGAGGGCTTCTATTTCACTTACACGGTCACGGTTTTGATCGTGGAAACAGAATTTTCGAATGGTCGGTTTTGTACGTTTCATTATTTTCGATTCGAGGCACGGTTTTTTGGGATCGCGGCCGATTTTTATCGTGTCCTTTTGTTCGCAACCTTTGTCCAGCCGCGTTTTTTTGAAAATAAGTAATTAAACACGACGGACTGTTTTTTTTTTTTTTTTTTTGGAACACCGATTCTTTTGAAATCGTGAATTTGTTCAATGGAAGTTTGTAGGTTAATTCTTGCTGATACTTCGAAAACGAAATGTTCATTTACAATATTTTAAAACAGACGAATGTTGATGTCTTTATACTTTTGAATAGTTTCCAAAAATTCAATTTACAAAAGGAGAGTTAAGAATAATTCTTATTACTTATACAAATATAATGAATTATAAAATAACATAAATACAGCATTGTAACAAAGAAAAAGAGCTAAACGAACTACCAGTAGAATATATCTTTTTTTAGTGAGGGAACAAATTCACACCTATTTCAACAAGAGTCAAGAAAATGATAAATTTGAATAAAATTTAGGAAGCAAAGTAAAATAAGGATATATATTTTCAAAAATCGATCGATAATCAATAACTCACATCCCCGTAAAAGATTCAATCAACCCTGTAACATCATTATCACTGTGTCCAAGAGGAATATATCCAAGAGGAGGGATAGTTTCGCTTGGTCGCACTCTGTCCTCTATTAGGATCGTTCGTTCCAGATTCCTGCGATCGACAATCGCATAGACGCACCGTGCCCAATGAGCACGTACACACCTCGGATCGATTCCCACACGTATTATTAACACAGGTAGGAAATGGTGGTGCAGGAAACTTGGTGCGTTTTAACGTTTGCGGGCCACGTGAACAAATAGCCGGCGCATTAAAACACGTTTGCATATTCATAAGCGAAGGAACGCACTTAAGCGAGTTAACGACTCAACGAGCGGCTGAATATTCTTGACAGCCACCCAGTTGCGTTTTAATTAACGTTGCGAACCGTTGTTGACTACTGGCCATCCGTTATGCGTGCAAATTATCGATCCTGCACGCTTGGACCGCGAATCGTTTATGTTTTCACGCGTAACACGAAGCTGTTAATGTGAATCGAGAGGCGGTGATAAAAATGACCATTGTTCAGCATTGTTTCCGTAAAGAGGTATTGTTTAAAAATTTCAATTATTTTTTTTTTTTTGTTTAGTAAGTTTCAATCGTCTGCTGTAGATATATAGTTAATTAATAATGTTTCGAGTTAAAATATTTGTTGGAAGGTGATTTGTATTTTTGAAAAGGCAGAAGGATATTGTTCATTATCTTGAATTTTTTTTTATTAATATTTATTATATATTATAATTGTTGTAAATATATTATTTATAGAAATAATGTTTGAAGACGTAATTAAAAAAGAATAACATTGATTGTAGTTCCTCAATAGAACAAAAGATTATTTTTAATTTTTAATTGATAAATTTCAATTTTTCTTGGCAAAATTATATTGCTGCGAATAATAATATGCTTCGATACATAACACGGATATTATAATATAAATTGAAAAGTTTATAATAAAAATAATACCTAATACAAACTATTTATAAATTATAGAAGATTTAATTTATGAATATTTATAACACTTTATTGTATGCATAGTGAATCGATACAGAAGAAAGAACACTTAGTTTTCATTTTATTGATCGGATATTAGAATTCCAATACTATCTGAACAGTCGATCAAGAGGACGTAGTGAAACTTTTACGAGACGCACTCCAATCTAGTTGCACAATGGCTTCGAAAATCTTCTTTAGAAAGATTTTATACCCTTCTTGCGATTCAACAAAATTGTACCTTGCAACTCGATAATATTATTGATCAGCTGTATCAAATTCTATTTAAATTTTTTTATCAAGAAATTTTAATTTAATTAAATTTCGATTTTCTTTATTAAAATATTCGTATCGTATATTATATAACTTCTGCGTGTGTTACTGCAATTATGTAACGTTCATGTAACACAAGATTAATGATACATATTAAATAAATTTATAATAAAAAAGAACTACGATAAAATATAGAAAATTGTCTGTGTAAAAAATGTCAGACGCGAAAGTGGCACAAGTAATAATTCGCTTAACATCATATTTCAAACGTGTTACATTCACGTCTTTCGTTCTTGTCTGCATGATAAGTACAGAAGCGTTCTATCAGGTAATTAATTGCGCATAATAGCCATCGATTAATCGGTCATTCTCGTCTATCGCTGACCTGAAATCCGTCATTGTCGGCGTTCCGTGACAAATCGGCTGTATCGTCTGAGAATACCGCCCTGTCAGAGATAGGGAATTTAAAATAGATAACCGCAGTAAAAATAATCGAAATGGTATTATCTTCTCTCAAAGAAATCGCGAAATTTCGAACGTTATACGTATATATAAATTTTGTTTAATTTAAACAAATAATTCTATAATAATCTATCTAATAATAAATATATATCTATAAATAATATAAATAATATATCTAATAATAAAAGATACAATGAATAAAATATTTCTAACGGCATGAAATTAAAATATCAAACCAAATGATCCGAGTTGATAGATATTTCTAACGTTACTTTCTATTTATAAATGAAATGTTATTTCCTATTCCGATAAATTTATCCATGAAATTGTTAATTCACTATTCTTTCAAATTGAATATTCACTCATACACGCTTTTCCCACGAGCTTCGGCCATGATAGTGGAAAAGGCAATACAATTTCCGATAAAAAAAAAAAACCAGGAAACGAAATTTCCACCCTTTGGTCTCATAAATAGTCAATTTGGTAGTATTTGACATGCCATTGACACGTTTCAATATTCAGCCGATGGATACACGATATCGAATTTGTTATCGTGTTTTGGATACGTTTCGTTTTTTCTCTCGATGGACAGAGAGAGAGAGAGATATTAGTCTCACTATACAAGCGTCAAATTATTGTAAATAGTTGTACGGTACGATTCTCGTGTTTTTTTAATATTTAGAAAGTACACCGTTCAAAATAACCATTATAAAAGTTAATTGAAGTTTTTGAAATGACAGAAAAATTGCGTTCATACGTTTTCATTAAATGATTGATACGTAAAACGTAATGAAGTTTTTTTCAGTAAATAGTTCGAATAATATTTTCGGGGCAAATATATTTTCACTCGGTTATTTGTATAGACAAATAAGATAAAATAAAGCAATGAATAATTAAGGATGATTAAAATTGAAGCAAATAAAAATTGACATATATTATTTAAAATGACAAAACTCTGTAATTAACGTCATTTATAAAAAAAACTTTTTACTAAAAGTTGGAATTAATTAATTAAAAATTTCTTGTTAATTGTTCATTTTTTAAAATTTATAAATTAATATCAAATAAATATAAGTATTAACATTTTTCTTTTTTTTTATTGAAACTACATTTTTGAAACGTTATTGTAGAATGATCAATAATGTTTCTACGTGCTAGAATTCTTTCTTGACAATGTTGTATGCAAATGATAAAAGAGAACGAATAAAGAATGTAAATTAATACGTCTAATTGTCATTAACAAAGTATCTTGACCGTATTACGTTACACTTAGCCTCTATTCGCCCATAGTCTTATTAAGGAAAATTATACACATGCCACACAAAGTATAAAGAGACCGGTAGACTTCAGAGCGCCCCGGTTAATTGCTACAATTACGTTTGATTAATGACTCTAATTGCACTTTCTTTTTCATTTTTTTTTTCCACCTCTTTCTCTATTCCTCTTTTATTCAATCCTGTAACGAGCCACGATATCGTTAGCTAACGTGAATCAACGCGGTTACCCGAATGAATAACGAAAATTAATATTCGACGTAACTCGGTAATATGAAAGATTTATTCATTTCGTGTAATGCAGATGTTTACGACACGAGCGTGAATACAGGCTGCATGCATGTTGTTGAGTTTAGAACTTTGGTTTAATGTTAGAAGTCATTTACTCGGATATAATTATCAGCACAGTTCTCTTGAAACATGGTATATTTAATTGAAAATAACTTTAGATGATTCTGTCTAATTTTCTAGATTAGTTACACGCAACGTACAATGTTTTATAATTATTATTATATTATAAAAATTAATATCACCGTAATTTTTACATACACAACGTATAGAAAATTGTTTGCAAATTTTAAAGAATTAAAATTTATGATTGCAAAACGAATGAGATTATAGATTAGATTCTTATAATAAATATTGGGTGGTCTTTGGAGGAGAATATATTTTAGAAAATACATTTTAATTGTGCAATCTCAAAAGATTGAAGATAGTAATTAAGGGGCGCCAAGGTTTTGACAAATGGGATAATTACCGAGTAATATATTGTTAGAGGTTGCTTGATTATATTGTTTTAAAATAATTTAGTACTTAATAACAGGATAATGATGAATGAAAAGTAGATTATATATAATTGAGATATCCGAAAATTTTTCTTAGAATTCTGACATAAATTTTCTATTCTGCTTCTTCTTATTTTCTACCTAAATCTAATTTCAAGAGAATAAATATTATATTGCAAGATTAAATTTTTTTCGATATAAAGATGAACTTGCAATTTTCAAAATCAAATCATTTTTTCTTTATTCACTAATTAATAAACTATTCACTAATTAATAAACTTATCAAAAATAAGAAAAAATTGTACTCGTCACTTACTATTCAGATACTGTTCAGATCATTTACCTAGGAAAATCAAAGATAACAATTTTGATTGGACACGAAGTTTTATCGATAACTCCATACGATAGTTAAGTCAGACGATTTGACGCAAACTCCAGTCACGCTCTCCTCTTGTCATATGATGTACCTGACTTTCGGCTCGTCTTTGTCATTACAGTGACAATGACAGATGCGGAGGCAGTGGCAGGTGGAATTGCTCAGTTACCATGCGACGTGGAACCTCCAGTCCCCGGGGACAAGCTGCATCTAGTTATTTGGTACAAGGAGGAAGCAGACGCACCGATATACAGGTAAATTTCATTTTTGCATTCCTTATTCCCATTTTCATTTCGCATTCTTACTCCATTGCTCGAGCAAAAATAAAGAAAATAGCAAAAACACGTGTACTTTTTAAACAATTTAGAGGGACTTTGATTTCTATTTTACACGTAGTTTTGTATTTTGATTTGAAAATTAAAAATTAATAATTTTTTTTTTAATGGAATATTTATTAGTATAAAGATATACCTAAGGATTAAAAGAGGAAAATTTGTAATGGCAATCAATATAATTTAGAAATATTTAAATTCAATGTATTGTTAAATCTATTTTATCTAAATTGTCTTTTTTTTTGAGTTATATGTGCATATATTTTTAAATATATTTGCTGCATTTCAAATATTAATTATATCCTTGGTTTTTATGAAACTTTACAAATTTATTAATTATTCTTTGTGTTTGATGTTACATCTTTGAGTTTTAAAGAAAATTTTCCTTCTCTTTAAATATTTTATAAAGTAAAGTTCCCCTTCTGAGCCATGAAAAAATATGAAAATCATAAAGTCAATAAAAATAGATTTATCATACTTTTTATGTAGTAATAAAATACAGCAGTAGAAACATAAACATAAAACAAGCTTTCAAAGTACATATGAATATGTTCTTTCTAAGCTTCTAAATCAAAATACCGTTTAATCTATATTTTTATAAAAATTTTTTATTGGAATCTTTTCTAGCAAATATATATTTTCTGTATACGAATTGATGTTACAAATTATAATTCTAAACAATTTCTTTAATTAAAACCTATATATATCATTTCATCATCCTTAAACTGTGAAATAGCACTTCAAATAAGCCTTGTACTTCAAACCAATTAAGTTGCCCTCGTAACAAGTCTTAATTAGAAGAACTCCTATGTGCACTATAGTCTATAAGAAGTCAATCAATTGTGTTCAAGATCACTAAGCAATATACTTCTATTCTACTCTTCATCTTCTATCTCCTTTCAATTTCCATTCAACTAAATTTTTAGAAAAAATTAACTATTTTTTCTCATCACTTCCATGAAAAGAATTTTTCTGCCAATCTATCATCAATACATTTTGCCAGAAAATGATTTCATTGTGAAAAGAGAAGGAAGGAAGTTTTTAGAGAAGTGGAAGAAAAAGAAATTAGGAACAAATAACAGGGTGTTACATTGTATTATAGAATAGAGTACCCGTCATTTGTTCTTCCACCTTCAATTTTCGTCTATTTTCTTCCACCATTACTTTTCTTCCGTTCTTTCTATAACAAGATCTCTTTCCTGGTCACCTAAAATACAACGAGAGCTCGATAACAGATAATCGTAATTATCGTTTAACAAAAAAAAAATTTATAAATAAAAATTACATAAAGAAACTTCAAGAAACGTGAAATAAATTCTTCGAATCATCTAGCAATCCTCGAAATTTAATTTAAATCTTTATTAAGATGGAACGAGGCAAAGTGATGAGAGGTAACGACGACGAAGAGGCAAGCAAGAGAATGCAAACGGATAAATAAATGGATGAGATTGGCAACGTTTCAGAGATTAAAATACCTTGGAACTGGAAACGAATTTATGGAAAATAATCCCGTTTTTGGAACGGGAGAAACATCGGTTAAAACATCAACGATTATTTCACGGAATGTTTCGCAGAATGAGACGGAAAGATACGACGAACGAGATCAAAGTTTCGTCTCATTATGCATGTGGAGTCGAAATTATAGATACAAGATCTCCATATACAAGATCTCCAAGTGACTTCTATGATTTCTACACCGTGCTCCTCCTCAAGTTTCTCAAAATATTTGCTCGCGGTAAATAATTCTTCTCGCTCCCTCGCTAAGGGACATTGAATTGAGTAGCGTTCAAATCGTTTCTTTTCAATGCAAGTCTCGAAAATATTTAGAGAGTTATTGTGAGACGTTCTTTCGAAGCATATTTTAATGTTCACGTACCTTTTTCTTCTATTCATCTCGCCTTATATATATTTTACAAGAAAGTAACTATTAATCTCGTAAAAAAACAATCAATCCAAGTTAATATCTTGATTTTCTCATAAAAATTTTAAATATCATGCAATAATATCTTCGACAACTCTCACGATATCCTCCAATAATTTCAATAATTTTCTTCTCACTTGTAAACTGCGGGAATACACCGGTTGTCACGCATTGAAACGAGCGGAGAAAATCTCCGGTCGAAAGTGGAACGAAGGAAAGCCGTTCACACGGTATCACGGGAGGTTGACAGAATGAAACGTTCAGGGACGAGAGTATAAACGTCCTCCGAGGACCGGTTCGAAGATCCAGACCCCTGGGGCGTCGTGTCGGCCGCAAACCTCATCTTGCCCGCGGCCTTTTATACGGGACGAAAAGATTCGAGAACACACCTGTCCAAATGCACCGTGGATAATCGAGTTGGACTCGTAATTCGCGCCATCGAACCATGCTGTATCGATTTCACACGGTCGTTTTTCTTTGCAGACCTGTCCGTGTTCCTCTTATTTCTCTTCATTCGTTTCTTTTCCAGTCGTTCTTGTTAGCGATCTTACGACATGGTATGGAGTTTGAGGCAACGAAGTTTTGATTTTTCTTTTCTAATGGATTTGTTAAACAGATTCACTGTATGTTCGCTGTATGATGTCAAGATTTTTTTGTGATTTATGACAGATAATCGCTTGATCTTCTGTGTAGAATATGTATAAGTTATGTTACAGTTACGTTATGGGGAAAATTAAAGGAAATATGAATGTAGTTTATTATGTGAAAGTTTCGGTGAATGTCTTAATATTATGTCTCAATATGTGAAAGGATAGGAATATGAAATTTCAGTGGTCAGATTTTTCTTTATATTTTTTTTTAGAATTATAAGTTTCAACAATAATTAATTCAATAATATGATAATTCATTGTAAATTCTAACGATCGAAAAACAATTTATAAATTTATTATATATTTAGATGAAAAAAAACATGATTTAAGAAATAGAATTAATAAAAATCCAATTTTCTATTCATTTAATTAAATTATTCTAATAAATAAATTATCGACACAATTGTGAATAATACAAAATTACAAGAAAGCATTAAACGAACAAAATTTCAAACTGCCAATAAATAATTATTAATAATTTCGACGTCTACGCTTCCAGCTTCCAATCTCAATTAAATTGCTCGCGTAAAAAATCAAAATAATCGATAAAGTAATGTTCAAAATTAATTAATTCGATTGAAACGTTCGAGGCCTTTTCGTTTCAAACACGGAATCGCAAAATTTCGACATTTTCGACAAGGGGGCTAATATTTTTCGCGTAGGGGGGAGGTTTTTTAATCACCAACGATCGACAAATATTTGCCCGGATGTTTTCATCGAACGAAACCCGAATGATATTTTCGTGCGTTTTAAACGGCTTTCGGGTCAGATCGATTTTGTTGTAATAACGCGATAGGGTAAATAAGGGACAAGCTGTCGGGTAAAAACACGACAGTCATTTGAGAACCATTTAAAGCGAGCGTTTGACGCGTGCCACATTTTTGGTTTTAGTTTGAAGGGAAAAATTCATGGGTACCGTGAATATATTCATAAGATACTCGTCAAATAAGATTTACAAATAACGAGGAAGTAAAATATTTGGAAATATCCTTTTATTCGATCATTAAGTATTTACTCTCGTGAATGTGTATTTATTTCTCGTGAATGTCTTCTAATAATTGTTTCATAAAATTAATTAATAATAACGAGCTTCAATGTATATTTTATCACAAAATCTACTCCTCTAATCTTTACATATAACGAATAACGCTCGTAACAAAATATTTAAAAATATAGGAAGTGCTGGGTAATTACTTCTCATTATTAAAAATTAAAATTAATTATACAATTGTTGAATCATTTTTTTTTTCTGAAGATTGGAATTTTTGTCCAACAACACGTTCGTCCAACGTGTCATCCTTTGGAGAGGATGCAGTTCGCGAGAGGCAGGACTTGCGACAGGACAGTTGTCAAATGAGCAGATTTATTAGTAACAATAAACCAACGCGCGCGGATACGCGTGACGTATGGGCGTTATACAATGTACAGCACAATATGATTCAACTGTGTGCAGAACAATGTAGAATATGGCGGGCACGAGTAGACGTTTCGTTTCGTGCGCCGCGATAAATTGGATCTAATGGGTCGTTGTGTTCTTTTCGATGGAAAGATATGGAACCGTGAAATGAGATGGTAGAATTACGCGAGCGCAAATTGAATTTTCGAATTGCGTGTATATATTATGACGATGTGCGGGGGTGTAGAATCCCGCTAGATGGTATTGGGGCATATTGGTGCGAGATATAAGCGGGAAAGTGCAAACCTGGGGGAACGTGAAGTTACAGGTTTGCGGAATTGTAGAGAATTCGTAGAATTGTGGAATTGTGGAATTGTGGAATTGTGGAAATTCGAGGATGAATTCGTATCGCAAAAGCGAGGTACGATTGAATGAATTGTAGAAAATGGAAAGTTGGAATTGCATATATATATGTGTTGATAATAATTTGTGAAAATTTTCATAATAAAATGTTATACTGTAATTGTAAAATTGTGCATTATTGATAATTCATGGACCATCGTGGAAAATTGTGATAATGAGAAAATTGTGAAATTGATTCGCCGCGTATAGAATTTTAAAAATTTCAAAAATTAAAATAGCGTGTTAAAATTAGAGAAAACGTTTGAATTGAAAATTGTAACAGGATGGAAATATGAAATTATGGAATGATAAAATTGCAAAGTAAAGGTATTGTTGAAATTTGAAATTCTGATATTGGAGAATTGTAAGACCGTAAGGCAGGATTGTAGTACAAGGGAATTACAAATTAGGTTAATAGAATAAGAGAATTACAAATTAGCCTTGAAGAATTATAGAATTGCAAAATCCCAAAATAACATAGATGCCTGTAGCATATGCAAATTAAGAACAAGAAAATATATAAAACCAAAATACTAATTAATAATAGAATATT